AGAGATGTGACAAAATATTGACAAAAAAAAATTCAGTTTGTTACAAGATGTAAGAGTTGCCTGCAGAGCGTAAGCTGACTTGGAACATTTACTTGGCTGAAGCTGAAGCGGTCTATTTGTTAAGATATATACCTTTCTCATCTAATAATGGCGGGTCGTCCGTTTTCTCCAGCCGCGACAAGGAATCGAGATTAGATTCTTGATTCTTGCGCGGTCTATCTCGTTTTCGCTTCATCGCAATTGGCGGCATTATCTTCGCATCAACGCGATTTGGAACTTTCCTTTTTATCTTCGTGTGTGTCACATTCGCGCTGGTCTCTGTTCTCTGTGTTGTATTATTTTCTAAACTTTTCTTCCTGGTGGATCTCGTTTTTCTACTACAAAGAACCTTGATTTTTTTTGATACGGACTTCCTTGGCTTTGACGCATTTGGATCGTCATTTAATGCAACACAATTGAAACATCTCAATTTTGATTTATGACAGTCGCATTTACTAGTACAAGGTTTTTTATTTTTAAGGCAAATACAGTGAGCATCTACACAACTATCATTTGTATGACATCTGCAGCGCCCAGACCATGTATTTGTCCTTTCTGGATTTTTTGAAGATGTTGCACTTTCATTGATAAACTCCTGTGTAAACGTTTCCTTTAATCTTGAAAGTATTTCATTATATTCCTTTGTACTATGATAACAGAATTCTTCTATTTCATCTATCTGTAATAACAATATTTATGTTAGAATTATTTATTTAATTATTATGTTAGAATTACATTTAAGGCGATGCTGCGATTAGCTCATATATACAAAATACTTACGTCCCATACCACAGATTACATGAAGGAATAATACAAAGCCTTTTGAGCTACGATTAAAAGCGTAGAAGAAAGGTATTCATTCAACTGCAATTTATGGTAATTCGTACGATTAGCTAACAATAAGTTAGAGAATGATAAAGAGAGCAAAAATTGCATTTAATAATAAATACCGGATTTTGCAAGAGATAACGTTTCAATATGTTAGATAAAGACAATGTACGTGTTTGAGTAAGACAGAACGATATTGTAAAAAATTCATTTAAAAATAACACTAAAAATAAAAAAAGAGTCTGTTTTGTCGACTTCATGCAAATTTGGCAGACCTGTCAGCATCACCTTAATAATTTTTTAAAAGAATATTAATTGATTAATTTATTTACTATTTTTTGTACTCCGCTGAGTGAACATGTGCAGGCGGGCATATGCGCGAGATCCCTGAAACAAGAGGAAACAATGTGAAATAATTACATGGCATGGCATAATTAAAAATATAGAATAAGAAGAATATAATTTAATTTCTTGAAAGAAAATGTATATCAAATTAATTGAACAACTCAAATACCAATGCAGTAGATAATTGATACAACAATAATTAATTATTGTATATCTGTAATATGATATTTATTCATATTATTGACATACGTTCAAATAGAAATGCTTATTAATTCATTCATCTAAATAAATATTTCTTCAAAATAAAATATGATATCTATTTATAATTTTAAAATGAATTTTTTTTAATTTGCTAAAATGTTTTTTTTTTTATTAATTTCTGAATTATCTCTCTTTGGTTTCTATAATGCATATTTAGTTTCTGAACAGATTCACTACTAATATAATAGTCTCTTTTGAAATATCATACTTAGGAATACGTTAAACTCTCATGTTCTCAGGAAAAGCAGTTATAAATATAACATATATGTAAATAAACATATATAAATCATTTTAATCAGCATTAATAAAAAATATGTAAATATTTGCAATCTATTATGAATAAACGTAATGCAAATTTTATATTACACCTCATTACATTTATAATTTTTTTATAACATATTAAATAAATCATTTTAAATTATTACGGAGAACTAAAAAGATGCACGGAAAATGCACGTTATCGGAAAATTACTCAAAGACTCAATAGCAGATTTTCATTACCTAGAAGCAAAAGCTTTTGATAATTCCATTTCGCAATTCCTTTCTGCTATTTCATCATCGGAATGAGAGATAGCGATGCAAAAGCTTCATAGTACGCGGCCGTGCGTTTTATCGCCGATAATTAATCATGGAAGAGCGGCCGAATTAAAGGAATCAAAGGAACGAGCCGATTCGGCATGAGCGTGGATTATACGAGGGAAACGAATTTAATTTCGCCCCTCTGATTGTCAATATACCGGAGGGATTCGTAAGCAAACTAATTATTTTGCGAGTCATCCACCCTGTAAATTGGCCTGATGAAGGAAAAAGGAGAGCGGAAAAGGGGAGAGGAAAATCGAAAAGAAGGAAGTCACGGATGCCTCTTATTAATTACTTTTAATAACTTTTATTAAATCTAACATTCTAAATATTATCTTTTCTTTAATTTAAATTTTTTAAATTTATAACCCCTTGCCCAAACTTATTTATATTTTATTAATTCAGTAAATTTTTAAATAAAAATTAAATTTTCTTACATTATCCACCCCCAATACTAAATCTAACCCTCTAAATTTCCTATGCATTTAGAATCTTTTCCTTGTAAAAGAAATATTTTTGTTAAACTAAAACCTACCGCCCCATAACGCCCAATAACACCCTCCAATGAAATACCTCATATCCCCATCAAAATTTAAAGTTATACAGTCTTTGCTTTAAAAAATTACTTTATTTTTTAAGTCATTATTTGTTTTTAAGTTAAAAGTATCAAATCACCTTTTAATATGATAATATTAATAAAGAAACAGAAAGAAAAGTATACTACAAGATCCTTGATATTTTTATTAATATCGTAAAAAATTTACACGTAATCGGCCATGAAATTCAATTTTAAAATCTTAAATTTACAGCACTCATTTCTTTTATCATTTCTTTAACGATAGCAATTAGATGGCCTTTAAATAAATTTATTCAAATATGTAAGAAAATGCAAAATTCTGCATGAGGTTGCTGTAGCATTGCAGCAAATTCAGAATATTAATTTTTACATTGTTACGTAAACTT